AACCTGGGGTTCCGCCTCCATCAATCATGCATTCACACAAAAATACACACTCTTGTGTGTTACAGCCTGCTCAGTGTTTTATAACTAAGGTGTCACTTTATTTTTAAGCTCATTTAATAAGACAAGTTGAACCAGAACAGACTCATTTGGAGCAGCATAGAAACACATACAGTACACACATGGATCACTGTGTAGAGCTATGGGCAGCTTCTGCACAACTTCTATAATTAATTAAAGTCCCACTCCAGAAACATTTTCATTTTTATATTTGTATATAAAAATACTTTACTATAAACAATATGCAGTCTAACACAGCTTTTCCTCAAAAAAATTTCAGTGGGCCTCTGTAATAGGAATGAACATTGCCCCTCATTGTGCATTCCAGGATCTATGAATGTTGCCGTCATCCCTTATGTGGATTTGAATAATTTTGCACGCCCAATTTTTCAGTTTTTTATTTGTTAAAAACGTTTGAAATATCCAATAAATTTCGTTCCACTTCATGATTGTGTCCCACTTGTTGATTCTTCACAAAAAATTACAGTTTTATATCTTTATGTTTGAAGCCTGAAATGTGGCAAAAGGTCGCAAAGTTCAAGGGGGCCAAATACTTTCGCAAGGCACTGTATAATACATGGTAAAGTGCGTCTTACCAGTAGACTTTCCGGGCCTTCTGAATGGTGGTTACCGTCTGGACTTCCTTTAGTGTTTGCTGTGTTTTTTTCTCTGCAGATTTCATGGCCTTGAACGATAGAAAAATGGGAAGAACCTTTAACAGAACATTCTGAATAAAGGTACAAAAGGATCATGAGTAGTCATCTTCAACGCTGTTATGTCTTGGTGCATAAACAATTTATACAAGCTTGCTTGTATTTCAAAAGCAAATGCCAGATGTTTTCCACTAATCATGCAGTAATCTGTCACAATACTCTTTGCTTGACTGGAAAAGAAAACCAGTTACTCACCTTATCTGCTGCTTCAATGGTTTTCTGTTCCTTCTTTTCAGCACTGCGTTTGTGGTCATAATACCTGGAAAAAACAACACAATCACAAGGTGTATCAACTAAAGCACAACACTTGTTAATGCACAGTTCTGTGTATAAAGGCTTAGACAGTATGTAAACCTACTTTTTGGCATTGGCATAAGCTGAGAGGCTGAGATCCACATCCACTAACATAGGCTTGTTTCTTTGAAGCTTCTTGTTCTGCCCTTTGTTTTTGTTTTTCTTCCCTTTCTCCTGAGGAACGGCGCTTTTGTCCTCCTCTTCCTGGTCCTCTTCTGAAATGTATGGATTCCTAGAGGAAAAAGACAGATGCACGAGCAAAGCAGTGCAATACAGTATTATAACAGTTAACTTGAAAATGTAAAAAAAAAAAAAAATTTGAGGAACAGGCCACTGCACTGGAGTTGTTGCATCAGTGATGGTCTCACTTTAAAAGCATGGTGATGTGGTTGGTCTGTAGCTTCAGCTCCTTAATGGCGCAGGCCACAGGATCTCCGGCAGCCTGTGCTTCCTTAACAATAAAGCCAATCTCAGTCCAGTCTACCTGATTGGCCAACGCACTGCACACCACCTGCAGTGCTCTCTCTACCACCGGGAGGTTCATCTCCACTAGTTCACCTTTTATTCTGTCCACTTCCTGCAACATGAGATAAGGATGTCTCACTTAAATCTGCTCATTTGCGAATGTGAATTTCAGGTATTTGTTTTGCCAACACCGCAACATATGCTTTATAGATGCGTCCAAAATGGACAGGGATCATTCAGTGCAGCATTTATTAATGGCAGACAAACCTGAAAGCTACTGTATTGCAAACCTGTGCTTGGTGCAAGGCCTCCAGTCTCTGCTCGTGGTCCCGCTTCACATTTTCTAACTTCTTCAGAGCATGTTTCTCTTGCTGCAAGGCCTTCATGTCGATCTTCTGACTTTCCATCTTAGAAAAAAACTCATCTACTGCCTGAGTGAAAGCATGAAATTAGATTCATGTCATGTTCTTGCAAAAAGAGTTCATTTCCATTGTAACAGAGAAAGGATCAACATTTCCCAAAGGCAACAAGAGCTAAACCAAATGAGCAGTCATGCTAATATTCACCTTGTTAAAAGTATCAAACTCCAAAATGGGGCTCTTTACATGTTGTGCAAAGAGGAATGGATGGAATTCATCATATCTGTAAGATAACCAAGGACAAAAGTGTGCATATTGTTCTTCTATAGAACAAATTGTGCCTTAAACAAAACATACGTGAGCAGTTCTTCACTGGCTCGGCCAGGAATTAAGCCTGGCTTTTTCTCACTCTTCTGAATGATGTAACCCTTGAATTAAACACAGAAGAGTTTGTGAATGTAACAAATCCATAACTGGATCTCTATGTACTGTTCCTCAAAATAAACATTTCTTACTTTGCCACTGAAATTCTCAGTTTTTTCCAAGTATGTTTCTGCAATCTGCATGGCTTCCAGGATTTTAGGTGCAGCTGAAAACACAGAACAAACATTGAGTACTACAGATTTATAGGAAATGATATTAGAGCCACTGATTCAGACTAAATCCAAACCCATCACCGTCAGTGTAACCCATTCCAACAACCTTGACTCTGCTCACTCTAGAATACCTTGTGCAGCATCAACTTGGCTGTCAACCTTGACAGAGCCTGGCAGTCCTGCTTCTATCAAGCTGTGCTCTATCAGTGTGGCTCCATAGGCTGGAGAGATGTTTGAAAAGGACAAAAAAAAACTTTGCTCAGTGTCTTATACTTGATAAAAAATTTTTAAGCTATTTAAACTCTAGAGACATTCATATGGATCTTTTTCAATTTAACAGTTCAGAACTGGCTGCACAGTTACTTACGAAGGTGAGGGTTCAGAACCCTTTTCACCTGCTCTCCATTTGGTGCTTTGTTGAGAATTTCTGTGAGCCTACATTTTAAAAAAAGCAATAAAACAATACGTTTTCACTGTTGTAATAATAACATTCTGATTCCGAGAGACTTCCTCTTGGTACACAACAAACTAGCACATGTAAAGCTGTGGATACCTCTCTAAGCTGATGAGAGGTTCATGGGGCCGTGCGTTCTCCACAGGATACCGCTCTCTCACAGCAATCTTAACATCTTCTGCTTCCGCTGTGCGAAACCGCAGCAGATTCAGGATGGTGTACTCATGGTCTGCAAGAATGATGTTACCCTGAAAAAAGGAAACACGCAGACAAATTAACATATCCACATAAATAGCATCTGAAACCAAACTATTTAAGTGTAATGTTCTCACCCTGTCATATAGTTCAATAATCAAATGGTAGGCAGCCTCATCTGAGCCAAACTGGATGTCAACAATCCTGTCAATCCCAAGCTGCTTAACCTGAGTCAGGCGCCGTGTCTTCAAGTGTTTTCGACACTATAGAGAAACAAAATCTGCTTTAACATTAAACTTCATTACAACTGATAAATCCAGAAATAAGCAAATATTGATTTAAAAAAAAAAAGAAATTAAAAGTGTTTGGCTGTTGGACACACGAGGAATTTGACTCTGGTACATCGGCTCTCAACGTGCAAGTACATATCCCCATGCAAGGGGCAAGTAAACAGTAAACCAACACAAGGCTGTGTAATATAACAAAATAAGCAGTATTAGCAAGCAACAAACAATGCAAAATATGCAGTATAAACAGACAGTAAACAATGCAGACAAAGGAATGTTCATTGTGAAACGAGATAAACAGGAATAAAAATAGAGTACTTAAAAATAGAGACCTGTACGGATCTGTAAAATCTGTACAATGTATATTTACAGGTATTACACTGAGGTTTGCCAGTCCCAGTCAATGAAGAAACATGCTATTTAAGAATTACATCTGTAAGATATGACTTACTTTCATTGCAAAGCCTGATGGCATCATATTCTTGGGCCATTCAAAGTCTGTGGTGTGAATACGGGTCCCAGACTCAACCAGGAGAACAGCTTTGCTGTCAGGCCTAAGACAACAACATGCAACACTCAGTGATACACACTGACTGAACGTGGTGGAGTATTGCTTCTGTACTCTACTGAATACTCTTACTTTTAAAACTTAAATACAGACACTGCTAATATGTCTTCATTTATAATCACAATATCAAATGCAGGACATTTTTTGCAATGGAATATTTTTTATTGCAGTTTTATACCATTACTCGTGGGTTTCACGTCCTATGAAACGCTATTACACTGAAACTTTAGAGGCAAGTTTTCAAAAAGCCCTTACTTTTGCAGTCGGATGAGATAGGTCTTATTGTCGATGTCATACACGTTGTTTACTCTCATGCCGATGTAGCTGTGAAAGATCGAGGCAAACGGAATAAATGGCTGGTCAAGATGTATAAACAAATACACAATAACGATGATTAACACAGCTTGAGGAAGCTAAGTTACCACCCGGCTGGAGGTAATATCACGTATCACCTACTTGGCATTAATCTCGGCAATAACTGCCCTGATATCCACAGTGGTGAATCTGGTTTTCATGGTGGCTTGAGAGCTGACTACAACTGGAGAACGAAGTATAACCACTAACTGGGTGCAAACGGTCACATTTTAGTGGAAAATCGGCAAGGCAAACCAGAAAAACAGACGGCGAATGACTGAACATGCGCACATGTGACATGATTTTACGGAAGCCGACACGGAGCAAAAAAATGGCAGGTTTACACCTTTTACGCACAGTGGCCGCGAGAACGCATAGATTGTGTATGGGATTCACTGGTGACTGGTAACGTTATGCTATGACATGAATACAATCGACCAGCAGCTGTGCTCTCGCATTTACTGTATCTAGATGGTATTATGCTCTTGGTAGACTCTTGAGCAGCCAATGTGCACTAATGATGCACTATTCAAACTGGCTTATTGGCGTGAAAAACAGGGCGAGCCTTCGAAATGCGTGCAAAATACCACCTAACATGGACTGGAACAACAGAGGGAATATTGTGGATATGCAGAACAAAAACCCGCAGCCGAATGAGAAGACATCCGAGCTAATGGTCACCACCCACCTCTGGGAAAAAGGTAATGAAGGAGGTTAATTAAATAGCTTTAAGACAGAATCGCGCCAAATAGATGGGCCTGCAGTAAGTAATTCACCTTTACTTGATTATTTCCCCAACACAGGACAAGGCATCTTGAGCTACGTTGTTGCTTATAATCATAATAATATTTTCAATTTAGCGACCAGGCTGGTGTGAGACAGACAGACCGTGTCTTGAGCCGGAGTTGCCTTTATCCTCCTTGGGTCAGGGTGGAGGGCGAAGGCGTGCTCCGTTACCAAGGCGACGGTCAGCTTACAGGGCTTGCTAGCGGGGTTAAGCTAGCACCCGTAAGGCGAGTTTAATGTTCCTCTGACACTTCGATGCGTAAAAAAAATCGTACATTTTCTAACTCTACCTTGAAATGTACTGTCCAAATATTATGGATGGACTTACCCGTTGCGGTTAAGACTCAAAGGAATGCAGTGTAAGTTGTGAGTTAACGGCTGAACAGGAGGTCAGTTCACTGACACACAAATAGCTTCTGTGGTTTCGGCCGTATATCCTGTTTTCATAGGCGCCTTTATTCTTTGTGCCATAATTTTAATCCGTTTTGCTAGAAGTTATCGAAAACAGTGACATTTGTGACTAAAATGTAACATAGTCTAAATATGGATAGAGCTGAAGAAACGTCGGATGTTTTGTTTAAGTTTACATGGAACCCTAACAGATGAAAGCAGAAATGATTTGACTGAACATAAACAATTTTAGAACCAAAACTATCAGTGTATTCATCGATGGACAACACAAGACATCTGAAAATGTCACAGCTGGCTCTGCAAGGTTTTGAAGGGATTATTATGAAATATGAAATTGTATCTCTAAAAAATATAGACTCACCAATTACAGCTCTTAATTGTGAACCTTTCTGAATTCACCACAATCAGCAGATAATAAAAATAACTTACCTGCAGGACGTTGGGCTGACAACTTTCTGTGAAGTATTTTGTTGGAATGAGTTTTACTGTATATGAATGTACAGTAGAACTGTTGATGAGAAAATCTTGTCTCTAAAATGTTATTCTGTGCTTTCCTTAGTGTTCTGTGATAGTAATCTGAATTTCTTTTGAACTGTAGGTTGGCCAAAGAAAACATTAAAATGCCTTACCTTCTGTTCTGAGAAATTATGATTTTTCTTTTTGCAATTTTTCCTTATTTTCTTATATTTGATACATCTTGTGATTTATCAAGAAAATAATCAATAGAATAGGCCTAACCAGTAATGTAAGTAATCATTAGTAGCAGCCCAATATGAAGGCAGTGCTTCCAGCTGTTTATCATAGAATCCCAGTTCTATGTCCCAATAAAATTGTTATGGTGTTTAATGTGTGTTCCAGGTTTTTTTTTTTACTGTCCATGGAAGACAGGATTTCCTTCTAGATTGTGCAGACTTGTTTTTCTGCTGTACAGCTACCTGCAAATTTCACCTGCTATTCAGTAGTAATATTATAGAAATGTGTTCCAAATTTGTCTTTTATCAGTGTTTGTTTTGAATTGTTGTGCAGGCTACAAAATAATTAAGAAAATTGGGGAGGGGACATTTTCAGAGGTGGTGAAAACTCAGAGCCTGAAAGATGGGAAGTTCTACGCATGTAAAACTATGAAGCAGACGATCAACAGGTATGTATCCATCAATACAGTGTTGCACACCTGTGCACAAGCTATCATTTGTGCACATGCTATTGTTATGGACCCTTAGCAGCTTGAAAACTTGTTAGATGTTGTCTTACCTTTCCTTCCACTCTTGACAAGGGTTCATAAGCCACACTGTCCATACACATTGCTATGTATGTAATGTATTATGTTTCTCTCATATAAAGCTGTAGAAATAGAACTGACCAACTTGCCATCATCAAACTATTTTTCATATGATGTAAGCAGATATGCAATTAGAATATACAATTAACTATATTATGCAAATGTCATCTTTTATGTTGTTAGTGTGGAGCAGGCCAACAACCTGCGGGAAGTTCAGGCAATGAAGAGACTGAGCCCGCATGCAAATATCATCCAGCTACATGAACTGATTTTGTGAGTACTGTAGAGATGACTACTGATATTATTGTAGTGCTTTAAGATATTTTTATGTGACGTCTTTCTAATTTAATTCAATGCTTCAGTGACAAAGAAACGGGGATCGTGTCTTTGATTTGTGAGCTCATGGAGATGAACATCTATGAGTTCATACAAGGTAAGTCTGAAAGCCTGGCAGAGTACCAGCATATTCCTATGTCTTAATAAGGGTGAATAAGGGTGTAATCTTGTTGTGAAGTTTGTGGGTTAATTAAAGGCTGATATTGGGTCTTCATTCCTTGCAGGAAGACAAACTCCACTGCCTGACCACACAGTAAAACATTACATGTACCAGCTTTGCAAGTCACTTGAACATATGCACAGGTAGTTATGAAAATATAAGTTGACAGGAAATGATAAAGTAAAATGTTCAACTATGTTCATTATTTTTTTCCTTCATTTTTTCCCACAGCTGTGGGATCTTTCACAGAGATGTGAAGCCAGAGAACATTCTCATCAAAGTGAGAGGCATTACTATCATAAATTTGCTTTAGCAGTGGTAATCTGATTTTGAGTCATACACATTTTTAAAATGATTTTTGTACAACTTGCAGCAAGATGTTCTGAAGCTTGGTGACTTTGGCTCATGCCGAAGCGTGTACTCCAAGCCCCCCCACACAGAGTACATCTCCACACGCTGGTACAGAGCCCCAGAGTGCCTCCTCACTGATGGGTATTACAGTTTGAAGATGGATATCTGGAGCGCTGGTTGTGTCTTCTTTGAGATTATGAGGTAAATCTCTAGGGAAAGGGCACAATATTGCGCCTGTAATACTTAAATAGGCCAACAGTTCACATAAGGTAGGATAAGACTGTAAACACTTTAAGGAGGTTATACAGTACATATGCCAGATTGTCAGATTATTGTACTGTGTGTTTCAGCTTAAATCCTCTTTTCCCTGGGACCAATGAGTTGGATCAGGTGGCTAAGATCCATGATGTGTTGGGGACACCAGATCAGAGTCTCCTCCAAAAGTTCAAGCAGTAGGTTTTCACCCTCAAAATATGTTGTTTGAAGAGATGGCATCCTCGTTACTGAAGCAACACAAATAAAATGTGAAAGAATTATCATGGTGTCTTGATGAATGGCAGGTCTAGAGCGATGCATTTCAACTTCCTTCCTAAGAAAGGCAGTGGAATCTCACGATTAATCCCCAACTGCTCAGCCCCAGCTCTGTCACTGCTGTATCAGATGCTCGCCTACGACCCCGATGAACGCATCACTGCAGAAACAGCCCTGCGGCACACATACTTTAGGGAAATCAGGTGAAGTTCTTATGTGCATAAGAAACAGAAGCATTTTACAGTATTTAATTGAAAACCGTCAGTGACCACACAAATGGTAAACGCATCATGAATTCGCAACTTTAAGAAAAACAGAGGAAGGACTCTAACTTTAAATAATTTTATCATCTGTAACAGCAACCTTGTTTGCTTTGTCTCTTAACATTTTCCTCCCAGGGTGGCTGAGAGGAAAGCTGACACTCTTCACAGAGTGTCTGGAGCTGCAGACCGAGTAGAGAGTAGTGGGACACACACCTCCTTAGAACACAAGTTTGTTTGGCATCCAACCAAACTTGGCAAGCAGCTAAGAGGAAGACATACAAGACAAACACCCTTAATGAGCGTAAGTGAAATGTCCGAAGTCAATGAGTCCAAAGAACTATAAATACAACTGGTCCCATTTGATACTGTCTCCCTTCTCAGCACAACATGAAACATGTAGCAGAGCCTGTCATCAGACGGAACGTCCATTATCCTACAGAATTGCCCAAGCTCAACATCGTTGTACCAGGGCCACACATCTCCTTCCCGGTCTCCACTGTGCCAGCATTTACTCTCGCTCACCGAGGCACCCTGCCAGCCATCACATCAAAAAAGTGCCAGTCACGGGTGGCCAAGGTAAACATGCGAGCGCTACACATCTGAGTCATTCAGTCATTAAGGCCTTCTGGAAGTCACATCTAAGGGTTATATATAATAAAATGTCACTATGTTATATAAAAGAAAAAGAGGAACATTCAGTTAATACAGCCAAACAAGTACCTTGGTAGTGCTTTTGATGAGGGCTTTGACGCGGCATTCAGACTGCATATCTTCTCCCCACAGCCCCGGGATGAGTCACACCATGCAGCTTTCAAGACCTACTACATGCCTCCCCTGGATAGGAAACATGGAGGCTACTGAGAGCCAAACACTTGAACATTTCATTTTAAATTCCCTCTTAAAACAGGATAGACATGGACTGATAAAGAGATTGTCAAAAGGACAAGGTTTAGACAGGCCTGATGTTGAAATCTCTGAAGCAACACAGCGATGTGTGTGTGGGGGAAAAGCAATGAAGCCTATCATTGTCAGTTAGGACTAGTAAAACAAACTGTTAACCCTCATTTTAACAATGAAACTCAGTATAATGTCTACACAAACAATATAATTTGTCATTATGTTGCAGCGAGATTGTAGTTTAGTTATGACCTCAATTTTACTCGACCTACATGTTTATAACTGCTTAGGCATACTTCAGTCTGCGCCTATTACAGTACACAAGCTAAGCAATAAGATGTAAAGTGACAAGCTGTAAATCATAGTGGTCATGGCCAAAAGTACTGGCACTCCTACATTTCTGTCAGATAACGCAATACTTCTCTTTCTGGGAGAATCAGTGTGTTATCTGACAGAAATGTAGGAGTGCCAATACTTTTGGCCCTGACTGTAGTATACCTTTTGGTGAGGAGCACAAGCTTCCAGCAAAACCGCAGGGTGCCTTTAAAACGTAGTCACACCCCTTGGACTTGTTCTGGTTTTACAATTTTGAATCACACTTGATTAATACAATTTTGATACTGATCAGAAAACAATTTTTCAAAATGGACACAATTCTCTACAAACTGACCTAAATTAGGTGCAAATATAAAACATTATGTGTAAGTATTCATCATCCTTTGCTGTGACTCACCCAAAAGATTACAAATATTTTTAAAGGATTAAATATTTAATTGAATACGGTCACCTGCATGTAATTGGTGCAAAAACTATGTAAATCAGGAAGATCCAACTGCCAGTAATTCAATATCCTGGTAAAATTTGCATCATGAAGGCAGACAAACAAATCTCCAGTGAGGTTATTTAAAAGTTCCAGTCGGGGAAATGATAAGAACCTTTCCCATGCATGGAAATAATATACTGAGAAATTCTGGAGTAGTTTGTTCCAGTCTGAAACCGCAGAGAAGATTTAATTTTCCAGCAGATACAGGGCTCCAAATATAAAGTTGAAACTACACTGGAGTATGTTAATGTCCTGGAGTAGCCAAGTCATAATCCAGGCCTCAAACCAATCATTAATTTGGTGCAGGACTTAAAAAAAAAAAAAAAAAGCTACTTCAGCCTTATAAGACAAATATTGCACAGAGTGGCTTTAATTAATCAGCTGTGATTCAAAGTTGTAAGCCAATAAAACATAGAAAAACAACATGGGCAGGGTTGAATACGTTTTATAGGCATTACATATTTGTGACATCTCCTTCCAGAAGCTGTGAATAAGTTTCACATGGGATAAACTGAGATGAAGGGCACTAGTCTTCCTGTACAAAGGTAAACAGCAAAACATTCACATTAAGTGCTACACAATTATAAGCCACAAAATTGCAGTTGAATAATTTAAAGGCACATTTCGTGATCCAGATGTAAACTGAGTAAACACCCCTATGTAGGCCACAACACATAACTGGAACAGTTATACACACACACACAAAAGAAACTTTTAGATTCATGTGAAAACACCTGTATTTCTAGATTCAGAGACTACAGTTCGGGCTCTTAAAAAACCTGAATCTGATTAGTTTTGTTTTTTTTAATGCAATGTTAAGAACGTTACTTGGCAAGTACCCTCCTACCCCTTCATTTGAGCCAGTGTGGCTTAAAAAAAAAAAAAAGTACCATTTCATTTGGAGCTGTGAGCTCATTAAAATTGACTGTGACTTACTCTGCACCTTATTGTGATGATTACTGTGATACATAATCAGTAAAAAAAAAAAAAAACCCTCTAGTATCATTTGTATGATATTGTCATGAACCTGCTTTACACTTTGATCATTTACCTAATGTCTGCACAAACTCCTGACAAACAACTGAAAACTGATGAATGAGAATCATGATTTTTAATTGAAAATGGGAAGTGCCAAAGGTGACCCACTTAAAAAAAAAAAAATATGGTTGCTTCATCAGCTTTCCATCTACTATGCAGGTCACTGAACTCTTAATGGCCTTTGGTTATCACACAAATATAAATATGGCAGTAGTAGGAATCTACTCCTTGGATGAATCTCAAGTTTGTCCTCATATCTTCCATGTGGCTTTTGTTAAAATCTTTTACAGAGAAAATGAAATTATAGGTTTGCTTATCTATGTTTTGAGTCTGCGATCAGTCATCGACTTCCTGAACTTCAGACTTTCATATCTGACAGCACCTTTTTGTAGAACTACAACACTTCTTTGACAATGTCAGCAATTTTCATACCAAGAGTCAGAGCTTTTTTTATGCAAGTGAAGTCAAAATAAGAACAGTAAACGATATATTCAAGATTATTTTAATATTATTAATATGTATACTTTAGGCTTTAGAAATATAACTATCAATGACAAAACTTCCACTGGAGTAATGGTAGTTTGCTTCGGCCCCCATCAAATCAGTTAATTACAATATACACATTATGATACAGAGCAGATTTGAATCTGAAATAATATTAAAATAAATGCTCAATAGATAAAGGTTTTAATATTTTTAATCATTTTCTTTACCTACTGTATTAGCCATTTGTGAGTTCTGAGCGCACCCAAAAATGTAAAGCCATTTTCTTCTAACTAATTTAAGTGCAAACAATTTTTTTTTCTTTAAAAAAAAAAAAAATTAATTACATTTCAAGACTGAGGATGTTAAAGCCAAGTGCAACAAGGCAGTCCTCAACCCTCTTTTTTGTTCCATTAGTGTAGTTATAAAAACAAACAACAAAATCAGTGCAAAGTCAATGATGGGGAGATTCTACTCAAGAAAAGACAGAAGTGGTGGTTGAATGTGGATGGATGCAACAGTTTCAGATGCTCACACACTTGGTCATAAAAGGATAGTTGATTCAAATTTCATACTTTAGTTGGTAACCCTGAGCTGCAACTGGGCTACGCCAAAAGGTTAAAAAGCGGTGCCACACAGATCATGAAAATTAAACGAACTATCCCTTTAATTTCAGGCCACAGTTGTCTGGTTTGCATCTAACAAAGCCAAGCCTTATTTCCAGAATGGACAAAAGTCAGATGAAATTTGACATGAAAGAAAGACTTTAAAAAAAAATCTTAAAATGTGTTAAAACTCCAGAGAACAATAGCACATTAGCGCATTAGTCCACAATCGCACCACACCTTTCTTGGTTCATTCCTCCTCTAGGTCAAGTGAGTGATAAACAAAAACAACAGAAAGGTCATTAACGAAATCGAGAGGGGTATAAAAGAAAAAGGAAAACTTGCAATGCTTGCAGGGTGAAGAGCAGCATCAGACTCTGGGTTGCAGGGTTCTTTAGCAGCAGAAATACTGTGGCTATACTACTGTTCCACTGGGAGAGCTGGCTTGGTTTTGGGATGACAATAAACCCTGAAAAAAGGAAAACAAGGAGATTTGCATTGGGAAAGTTCACATACTATAGCAAAAAATAAAAAAAAAGGCAACAAATAGCTCTAAAAATTTGCCTCTAGTCTCATCTTTCCATCTCCCAGTCTCCTGCATTTCATTAAAACGCTATGCACAGCAGTGGGAGAGGATGTCGAGTGTACAGTGTGAGACTACTGCTGTCTTTTTTTGTGGTCTGCTTGATCAAGGCACTTCTAATGTATGAGACCAGACCACCGACTTGTTCTACTAGAAAGCTTTTTCTTTTTAACCTCTTAACGTGAACTTCAAATGCAAACAAACTTAACTGTCAATGTGAACTGTCCCTATGTCACAAAATTTGTTTCAACTTCTTTACCATTATTAAATACTCAGACATTATTCTCATTTTCTTGCCAAGAAGGCATTTTAAACCCCTCATAAAACCCCACAATTCATCCAGTGACCCACAGAAGATAGTGGTCCCACAAATTATGTGACAAAAAAGTAAAATAAGCCAAACTAAAGCACTGCAAATAGGTGTACTGCTCATCTTAATATCATTGCATTGTTCAACTCTGCATCGACTTCAGAGACATTTGTTGAAACTTCAATGGCATTTCTGTTCCAAGTCTCTGTTAATATCCGACTCTGGTTAAAAGTAGTGGTATTGGAGCCAACAAGCTTTCTGGCTGTCAGTAATAAATGCAGACTATCATGCGCCTTGTTCCGGTAAAATCTCTCAAAACACACACAAAATGGAAATATAAAAGGGCGTGTACACAATTTAAGCTGTAAGCATGTGAGAGGCCGCCAAGGGACTTTGGGCAAACACAGAACCATATGCATAAAAGCTGAAATGTGCAATAGTATGTAGATGACTTCTTGACTATGCTGCTATGCATTGTGGGATGATTATGATGAACCAATGAACACACTTCATATGGATTAACATCATCTTCCCCCTGACAGGTCTTCACAGGAAATCCTCCTTATCAGAATATATTATATGACCAGACTGTAATATTTTCATAGCATGGATTATATTTGAAACTTAAGACATAATAGGTCTTTCACTGGAAAGCAGATATACATTAAAGTCTGATATGTTACTTGCCTGCCTGCAGAGAATGACAAGCTGACTAGAAAGGCTAAAAATGCTATTCCAAACATCCAGTTTATTGTATGCTTTCATTATATATCTTGTTACAGCCTGCAACTGATTTTAAGTCAGCTAAAGATTGACAGTGTCATCTCTTCAAATTTCCTCACGTTTCCTACATTAAAAAGAACTTACCACTTTGCCTGGCCTCGCCCATGTGCAAATAAATCCCTCCTGACAAGCAGTCACTAAACAGTCCTCTAAAAATATGAGTACAGTCAGTCTCTCATGTGCTATCTTTTTACAGATGAGGGGCTCAAGGAGGGGCACATCCTCCATGCGTGGGCACAGCAGAGTGCCCAGAGTCTTAGCAGGGTCAGTTTTGGTTTTAGTCAGCAGGTTGAGCTTGTCGCTACTCTTACTGCTGATGTGACCCATGCTGTGATTGCGTTTGTGGTCCTTCTCGTGGTGGCGCTCCTTCCGATCATGGAGTGACAGGGTGGCAAACTTAGTGACACCTGTAGCGATGGCACTGTCCATAATGCCGCTACCGATTCCACCACCGCTGCTAGCCTTGTTTGTGTTGTTTGCTGCTGTTGTGGTGCCGGCTGAATGGGGTAGACTGTTGGAGCGTGGTAATGTAGTAGAGAGGGAGTTAATTCCAGGAGTACTGGCACCACTGTTGTTTCCATTAGCAGTGTTACTAGAGGTGTTAGTGATTATTGTAGCACTCGGAGGGGGACTGGTAGCATTCATCACGTTAGTGTGTGTTCGTGTCCGTGAAAGCGGAAGGTGGGGGAAAAGAATGTCCTCAGTGAGGTCCCATAGGCACAGTTGAGTGTCCTGGCCCACTGAGCCAAACCGGTATGTCACACTAACAGGCCGGCTGTCCGTGGAGTTGCGCTTGGAGAGTCGAGACTGTGTACTGTTGGCCCGGTCTCTTCCAAAGTAGATCATCTGATCCTGGAAGTCCTCATCACTGCCGCTGAACTCCATTGGGTCACTCTCCTCCACACTGGTGGTGTAATGGTCAAACGCCACCACACTCACCCACGATTTGTGCCCATGACCTCGTGCTATGACTCTGCAGTCCAAGAACGACCACACAGTCACTAGATCGTCTTCTCCACCTGCTACTATGTACTTTCCATCAGGGCTCCAGCACACACACAACAAGCCACCGAAGTAGCTCTTCATGGTGCCATGAAGCTCAACAGCATCAAAGTTGAACACGCGTAGGAAGCCATCTTGACTTACACAGGCTAAGAACTTCCCATCTGGTGAGAAGGCAAACTCATTCAGAGCCCCCTCACCCACTGTCCATTTAAGAAGAGGGTTCCGTGTAGATTTACTCTTACAAGTGTGTACAGAGTAGTTCTCTCCCTGTTTGAGGAGCTGATAGTGTGGTGCTGTGGTGCCACAAGTATGCTCTACGTTGTAAAGGTACATATTCCCACTAGCATGTGACACCAGAAACAGACTCTCAGAGCCTGGCACCCATTTCACACATGTTACTCTGGACTTGTCTATTAGTCTCTGTTAGGAGTGAAGAAAGGTTGAGGATGGGGAGGCAGATGGGAGAAGAGAGTGGAGGGAGAAAGGGAATAAAAAACTGTCAGTACAGTAGCATCAAGAAATTAATCTGCTGAACACCTTTCAATCTCAAAGCAAATGCTCTGTTTAAGTCTTAGGCCACTTGGTAATATTCAGTTTAAAAGTGCTGGGCAGGGAAAATAGAGTAGCATAAACTGCAATAAAATGAACAAGAAACAGAATACACTGAACTTTGTGACTAAGATGCTTCTGTCAATTTTTATTCTACTGACCAGCACCTGCTATTTGTGGACAATTCTGTACACAGAACTCTTAGTAATCCTACCTCTGTCTTACAGAAACCCACCTCCTCATTGAAGAGCTTGCTTGTCTCCTTCTTGATGGGGTCAATGAGTTGTACCTGTCCTGCTGAGAAACCCACCAGCAAAGACACACTCTCTGCTGTAGCTGTGAGGTGGTTGAAGTCATGACAGGTGGGCTGCGTTCCCTTGTAGATGCGCTTGTCTATGGGCTTGCTCAGGTCAGCAGCCTGATGAGAGAAAGCATGAGCATATATAAAAAGTGGGTGCAATAACGTTTAAATATCTAAAATGGGTTTATGCACTTCGAAAGACATAGATGGTTGTTGGTCAAACTGGCAGTTCTAAATCATTGGAGATGAGTGTGAAGTCATATTTTCCCCCTGTACTTAATTTCAAACACACTGAATTTAGAGAAGTTGAAGGCATAATGTTAATTCAACTGCTGAGGATGAAGACCTTAAATTTTATTACAACCAAACAAGAAGTGACATCTGAACACAAACAATACTGAAAAACTTTTTGCAACATCAACTACCTGACAGTCACTGAGCAAAAATGAGAGAGCTCGAGCATGGAGGTACGTTTTCTCTGCAAACAGGTACTGTAGATGCTAGCCATGATAAGGTATGATATACAGTTTATATTTCATGTCAGAAATACTGCATTTTTTTTATACCATGAACAAGACACTCTGGGCATGTACAGTAGATAACCAGTATAACAACAGTTCCAATATTAATGATTAATAGTTAACTACTGCTACAATGGAAAATGCTGTGTGTAAGATGATGACTCAGTGGTTACTCCAGTGTGACTGTTTCTATCTCATGTCAGACGGTCAAAATGTCAGCCCAAGTGTTAAAATAAGTTTAGTCCGATCACATAGTTCCTATGCCTCCTAACAGCGTGCATGGCATTAGGCAGTGCTTCGATGGCTGACATTATCACGAGACATGGTACATAATAAGCCTATATCAACAATGAGGAAGAACACTTAAGGACGTTTAGGGATATGCAAATACAAGGTTCTCATGAACTACTAGATTTGTTCACTGCTCGGTATAATACATAGGACAGTACTACCAGCTCCAGCAAAACACAGAAGACAAAATCGCCAACCTCTTTGTGCTGCACCTTAAGACAAATTATCAATAACGTAACATGAACATTCATTTGTGATATATTACTGATACACTGAAACAGAACATCAGTCTTTAATATGTGATTAATCTACTTGTACTGCAATAACTTACCATTTGACATTTTCTGTTAAACTTGTATAGCAAGGATTGACATGGCTAGAATTACTATCACAGTTGTGTCTTTTACTACAAGCTGGAAATGCTCTCAATCCTGGCAGCAGCCTTTAGCGAGGCTATTGCTGTTATTCAATGGAATAACAACACACAAGACAAGCATGTTTCTGTGTGATTATTCACAGGGCTATGACACATAGTTTTAAGTTAGTAGTCAGCTAATTCTGGTCAGCCTGTGATGTCAAGTTAGCAGTTAGTGACAAAATGTCTGTTTTATGATTTGATGATAAAATGTAGCAATCCTGATGGGATTTACCATGATATACCTAATGACACCAGCATATTTTAGGTAATGTATCCTAATAACGGGACTGCTATCATGTCATTTCAGCTCTCTACATTACCTTCTGTTTAACAAGAAAACCATCACACATTTGCATTGACCCACGACCACAATAAATTATACTAAAGAATTAAATGACTTATTGGTTAGTGCCAGAACATTTACACAGAATACAGAAATATACTGCAAAATGACAGAGCCTGATCAGGTCATAAAAACATTCCCAAGCTAAGAACTGAGTTCCGTTGCATCACAATAACGACAAAAGCAGTTAGCTTGCAACCCAAACATTACTGCCCATACACTACATCGGCATTACTGTGATTTGTCAGCACCTGTCTGTCAGTCAGTCAGTCAAAAGCTTCGACAAGTGTTATGGGTGTCGATGTACAACTGCAACTGTCATAAAGAACTATATTGTTAAACCTTAACCAGGAGCGGACGACTTAGCGTTAAATCAAATGGTCAGCTTTAACCTTGTGATCCAAACCCAACCTCGTGAAACTTTCCCACCCCGTGAAACCAAAACAAAGTGACGGACTGCGTACAGAATTTGGCCTCCGAGAAGCTACTGGCTTGCTAACGTTAGCCAGTTGCGGTGGCTAGCTAGCGTTAACTAATGGGCTAGCTTCAAGCCAACTAGCTGTCAGCTAATTTGAAAGTCAAGGACCTGCAAGAGTTATTTAACACAGCCAACACAAGCCTCAAGTTCAGCAACAACAATGATATATTTTAGCATGCAGTATTAGAAATTTCCGGTGACAACAGCCTCATTAGCACGCTACCTTTCTAACGCCTTTGTAAATGTAGAAGTAGAGCTCACGGCCCACATTGAAACAGATCCTGTCGCCGTTGCCCGACTGGTCGTTGACGTTCACGAAGGAAACCTTGACGGGATTGGAGCCTTGCGAGTTAAAAGGCACCCTGTTAGGACGACTGTATTCGGAGTGAGTGAGGAGTTTGTAAACGCCTTCCCGAGTGGTGAACTGAGTTTTAATTTCGTTCATCTCCTTCCCTCCTCCCTCCGCCGCCATCTTTGAAATTAACATTCATCCCTTTCCCCCAGGCCGGATCTTACGCGCGGATGGGAGCGGGCCATGGAGTGAGAGTCCGACTCTCCTGTTCCCCCCAACGGTTCACCGGGGAACTGATGGAGGAATACACGACTCGACTATAAATTTTGGAATAAGTTGTCAGAGCTTTATACTCATCTAAAACGTTGCACTATACCAATAGACCATTGGGGAATAATAAAACAAGACGCTTACTTATATTTTACACTGTGTTATATTTAGTAGTAACAAGATCATTAAGTTTTATTTTGAAAAAAGAAAAAATATATATCACCGGACGTATTATTTTGTTAAAACTTTGAAAATGGCAAATTCGGCGGCGTTTTGAACTCCTCTCCGTGCTGTTTGTCTTGTTTAGACCGCTCACCTGTGGCCACACCAGGCTGCAACAAATCAGAGGCAGCTGGTTGATTAATATGCGAGTTTGCCTGATGAAGGCACATTATTCAGGTATATACTTTTTTGTCGTACAAAAAGTTGCACGCGCTAAATGTCATGGCATGTAGGAGAAGACGACGCGCACTTTCAGGTAGATATGGGTAGTTTTCATTTAAAATGTTCAATTTAGCATTAAATAGTAGTCTGGAAAATTGATATTCGATTAATTTTCTTATTGCTGTTGCATGCATGTTGATTGCTATACATAATATTTTCCAACAGGAAAAATATGCTGTATTTGTTTTTAGTGTATTTTGAATGAGCTTAATGCAATACTGCACAATAAATTCATTATTTTATTTATTTGTCATTTAGATCACAATGATAGACATGTACCCAACCACATGGACCATCTTGCTTTCAAATACATGGTGAGATTTCATCACCATATTTAGAGGGGTGGGGTCTATTTAGCAATTTAGAACTCACTTCATTTTCTTGCTTTGCCATATAAATGTGGACTTGAGTTACCTCTGCTTTCTGTCAGGAGATGTGTAAAGTGGAGTCCAGCACTGACTCCGACTCAGAAATCAGTCCAAGATGGTCAGACACCAGCACTATGGTATTGCTTTTGTTTTGAATGTGAATATTGCACACACTGACACGATGTAAACTTGTATAGTGTACATACACATTAAATGGCTACACCTGGGACATTTTTTTTGAATATTGCCATGAATTTTGTTTTCAAATATGTTGAAATTGAATTTCTTCCCCATAAACTGTTCCTATATGCCTATTACTTTGGTTCCACCATTGGTTATTGCTCATGTGCACACGTGTGTCTTGTCTTTAGTGGTCTCAGTAACATCATGTAGTTTTTTAATTTAAACTGAATTGCTATTGCCAGTACAATGGTGAATTCCTTATTGAGCAGGGATGCGGGAGCGGGGCATTACGTCGGACACTGCTACTGAAGCCTGCAGCCAGGCATGGTTCTTACTCTTTGGTAAGCATTCTCTTTCAGTAGTTGATCCATTTTTGCCATTCTCTTTTTATGTATGAATGCATGTGTGCTTCTGATTATAGTTTTTGGACCCATATGATGGGAGCTCTGAGGATTCAGATGAGTCAAACATTGATGTCAGTGTCTCCAGGCGAACAAGGCAGCAGGGAAAAGGAGGAGGTGGAGGATGTCGGTTTTTGGGCCGGAGCAAGAGATGTCTCCTTCATCACCCTGCTTCAGTGACCCTCAAAGAAGTACTTAAAAATGGGATGAAAGATCCTTTAACAGAGCAGCAACATCTTCTGGATGTCCAGATGAAACATGGGAGTGACTCTGAACTATGGGTCTGTGACCTTGACACTCTGCCCTCTCACAGTGACAAGGATGGTTGTAGAGATCATACAGTAGAAAAGGCAAATGAATCAACAATGCACACCCAAACCATGGACATTGAATTGCAACTTGATGACTCAGGCTTGCATGCTACAAGATCCTCCACACCCCACACAACTGAACCTCTCACCTCAGTGGGAGGAAGCTCATCCCAGATGCTGGATAGCTCCTCTGAGAAATCCCCTAGCCCATGTAACCTCCAATCTCTTTACAAGAGAAAGCTGGGTCTCCCTGGAGCAGAAGTGGTGGAACTGGGGCAAAGGAAGCGGCAGTGTGTTGTCAACATGGAGGACAAACAAGAGAGACTGAACTCGGAGCCATGTATCCAAGGACTGACAGGCTGCTGCAGTCATATGGTTTAAGGTCGAGTGAAATACTGTAAATAGTTACTTTGCAATGCACTTTGATAACTCATGTTTTGCACAGAGATGTGATTTATTTTTCTATCTCCAGTAATTTTGAATATTTCATGGAGGTGACATTGTCTACTGCCTCTCTTTGAGCAGTTACGAGTTTTGTTGGGATATTTATTTTATTAATCTGCACCGTGTTAGAACCGAGTACAACCTCTGCACTGCCAAAGAAGAAACTGTAGCACATTACTTGCTTGTTTGTTTGTTTTTGTTTTTTGTCCAGATAAGCTAAATATCTTCTACTTCAGTGGACAGCCAAATTGGAACACCTGTTAGATGATGGCATCCAGCAGCTGTGGCTAACCTGAGTCTTGGTCTCAGATTCTGCATCAGTTTAAATTTTGTAGAAATGACATCATTCTAATTGCATTTTATTTTAAAGCTGTTCCTATGTAGTCCTAGTGTTTGGAGATCTCTTGCTCGAAAATCACATTTCTGTACCAGACTGCAATGATGTAAATTTAAATAAATAGGTTATATAAATACACAATTTACTTGTTTTTCCATGTTAACTATAGACATAAACCTAAACATCATATTCTTATGTAGTCACACAAGTGTTGCAAAATCTCATTATCTTCAGTAATAGCCTGCAGAGTTATCTTTTTTTTTTTTTTTTTTTACAAAAAAACAAAAAAAAAACAAACCCTTTATCAGGATAGTTTCAGTGAAAACACCCTGATCACATTCACACCTGGAAGCTGCCCAATATAACTACAGCCTAACCTGCTGGCCATTGAGTAGATGAGGGAAGGCGAAATCACTTTGTTTTTCCACTTGTCCCACCCAGATTTAATCCTGCGGATGTGAGGATTGTACCCTCAGCCATTTGGTCATAAGCGTCTCTTATCTTTAGGCTATCAAGTTATCTAGTTTAATTTCCTACAATAATTACAACATAAACAATCATTCATGTACTCTTACTCCAGGAAAATTCAAGTTTCTCTAACTAGCAGGTGGCAGTAAAACAATGAAGCCAACAGTAAAGCCTTCAGAATCTTTGCACAAGGGTTTAGATAGTAAGCTGATAGGCTTTTCTATGATCATGATAAAGACAGTGATATAGGACAGGAACTGAAGTTCATGTCTATTACCATGTAAACTCTGGATCTCAGTTTGTGTGTTATCTGGTCCTGATCAAGAAATGATCTGGAATTTGAGCAGAAGCTACCCCCTTTGTAAATTCATATGAAGCAATGTATTGCATACTGTATATTCTATTATTGTCCACTGCCCAAGAGACAAGCATGAGATTCCCCTCAGAAAAGCATCCTAAAATGGTAAGGTAATTTTTCCTCACCAAAACTGTTGGTTTCCTTTGTCTGTTTCTCTTACAATAGAACCAATAAACATGATCACCCTTTCCTTTGTGATCCTCTAAGCACATTTGTTACTGATGTTAAAGCCAGTCTAGTGACAAGTAATGCAGTGATTTACAGACTGCAGCGACTTAGTGCTGAAAGCTGAGGTGATTAAAAAAAAACCCACACTGCAAGTCTGAGGATCAGGTAATCAGTACATTTACTTTCTAAGCCTGTATTACAAGTAATAGCCACAAGTACCATTTATTTTATTCTGTTAATTTGAAATAGAGAATGCAAATACCATGTATGATACCGACTTGAGAAACACTAGTATATAAAGGCTACATTATCAATGCAGGTAACATCTCCTCTGGCTTTATTCCATCTTAAAACCGTCTCGTTCATAAAATCATATTTTTCTTTTCAACTTTCCTTTTGCACATTTCACTTTCTCTTCATTTACCATCTGACAACATTGCCTTGACCTTCTAAGAAACATTCCAAAAACACCAAGAATGGGTACATAAGTGCTACACAAATATTTAACTATATCTCATAGTGGAATGCAACAGGTTACACACTACTATTTAATGGTGGTTAACAGGAAATGAAAGTAAGAGAAGGAGTACAATTTAATAATCAAGACTCTGGTATCAACTACTCTGTGCACAGGATAGCAACTCCACGCTCATAGAAGCTGTGGGGATCTTCCTTGTTGGCAATGTCAAAATCAACAGTGAAGATGAGGTCAGACCTGGTGAAATTCAGGTACACTGGAAGAGTCACCTGCAGTGAGAACAACAACAAAATAATGATGAAGGCAGCAAGACCAGCACTGAATTTAATAGTCTCCTGTTTTACTAAACCCTTATTTTTGGATAGGTACAGTTGTGTAATCATTTTCATACCAGGTGTCTCTTCTCAGCATTGCCTTGTTTAATCCACCGGAGCTGAGTGAGAGGCAGCTCAGTGGAGATGGAGGTGGACAGAGACAGCTTGTTGTTGGTACAAGTGGCTCCCTGCAGCTTCAGACCTGAGAGCAACAGTCAACATGTTTGGCATTAGAACCCTCAAAACAAAATTTTACACTATATTCCGACATTTTAGAGCACAAAGTGATCATATCAACTGGCTTTATATTTTAAGTTCTTTGAGTATCTACCACAGTCATAACCGGAGGCTATGGTATTAGGACATGTCGTTTCTTTTTAGTCTTAAATTTATTTAAAAGGATAATATTCAGTTGATGTCTTCTGAAAATAACTTAAGTGTTTTTTATATTTCTTAGACTCTACTTGTCTGACCTTTGATGCCAAAGCTGCAGGCATCCAGTGCGGCGCCCTGGGCAGTAGTGACATTGACCTCCAAACACAGCTCCTCCAGTGACCAACTGTTCGCCTGGGCCACATACTGGCGAGTTGCAGTGATGTAAGCCTCTGGCACAAATAGGCTACCCAGACATACGTGGATGTTCTGGAGAGGGGGGAGAAAGAGTAGCAGAAAAGATAAATACTGAATACCTGTTAATTCTGTACCCTATTGGTTAATCAAACAAACAAAAAAAAAAACCACACCTTCAGCTCCTTTGCACCCCCACTGGCAGCTCCCTGGGAAATCTGCTGCAGCTGTTTGATTCGTTCACTGAAGTCTGCCACCCACTGGATCACGGTCATAGATGTTGGAACTGTATACCGACACCAGCTGCGAGGGAGGATGCCTGCAGAGAAACACATGTTTATACCAGTTATTCACTTAAAGCAAGAAATTGATCCAAAAAGACATTAAGGAATATGAAGTGTGCAGTGGTTTCATTCTCAGTTTGACAATTAAGCTAAATCTATATTTAAAAAAAAAAAAAAACTCCAAGAAAGAGGATTGTACCTTTAACAAGGTCACTGATGAGTGTGCGCAGGTCGTTGGTCTGCTTCTTCTTGCCCTCACACACTTGCACTACATCAGACAGATCCTGACGGACCTCCTGCAGCATCTTGCCGCCCATCTTCACCTCACGCTCAAAGAACCGGAAGAGTGGGTCCTGGTGTTTGGATGAAGAACTCATTAAAGCAAATGTAAAAGCCTGGCAGATGCATCTACACCGTAATTGATACACAAAACTATAAAACATAAATGACTGATGATCTTGTCAGTGCAGCAATTCCCAAGGACATTTTAGGTTCATCTCATGAAGGCTGCTTACCAACCACCTTTCCTATTATCCGTCATTACCTTGATGTTCTCCACTGTGCGTTTAAGTGCATTGACAGTTTGGGGCATGAGGTGCAGCCAGTTGCAGGCAGTGGTGTGGAGGGTCCTCATCCAGGCTGGCTGGGAATCAGATGCGGCTGAAGTGTGCTCTTTCTTTTCTGTCTCATAGGCAAGGTCATCCTCATCCTCCAACATCTGCATTTTCAGCACCTTACCCATCATGTCAGTGCCTGTGCAACCCAGTGAAGGGAGCAAGTGAGCAGGGAGAGAGATGGGGGAAGAGGTCAAAGACAAGGCCATGGTGGGAGGTAGGGGGAGAAGAAATTAATTGTGAAACAAAAAGACATGGCTTCCCTTGGGAATGTTAAAAAAGAAACTGTGCCAAACAAATTAAACAAACTAGGACAAAAAAAACCCCAAAAAACCCAAGGCTTCAGGCAAGATTTCAAACCAAATATAACATTCAACACAGCTACCAAGTGGACAAATTAACCACATTCCTACTGGCTAAACTTATAAAGGAAAATGAACATAACAAATGTAGGGTGTCAGGTTCTGAGGTAGACACTAAGGAGTGGAAGTGAAAGGAACGGGGTGTCCAAGGAGCCGATGTTTCAGCAGGTGGGATAATCTGGAGGAGTGGAAACCAGTTTGACAAAACAGGGATGGCAAACATAACTGGGAAGCTAAGGGACTGAGGAGGTGTGTGGTTGTTTTGAATCCTAAAATGAGGGAATGTAGGGGAATGTATTTAAGCAGAAAGACATGATGGCTGTGAAATACAGCTGCTGGAGGGTGAGGTGACACACTCCCTTCCTTTGGGCACAGCACCTTTTAATATAAATGCTATGAATACAGCTAGGCTACAACTACACAGCTGAACTGTATGGCTTTCATATACAAGATAACAGGTTCCTTGTCACCACACACACACACACACACACACACACACACACACACACACAGTATTCGACTCAAAGTAGAATCTAAAAAAAAAAAACAAACAAAAAAACATCTTGACCTCTCGTTGCACTGTCAAAGTAAGAGTCAAGATGCTAGAACAGAGAGAGAGAGAGATGGTTAATGAGTGGCCCTGTGAAAACATTAAATCTGAGCAGCTGGACCAAGGAACAAATGTCAGTATGTCCTAGGTTCCGGTGGCTGTGACAGAACGCCAGAGTACTGATGATGAAGATGACTAGCTGCAGCATACCCTGAGTGGTGAGCAGGACCTTCTCAGCATTGCTGGGCAAACCGAGCCAAGATGGTGTCTGAGTATCTGGAAGCATCTCTACCCAGTGCATGAATTCCTCACGTCTGTAACCAATAAGAATTACAGGGAAACTTTACTGGTCAAGGTCATCAAGAGCACAGTCCATATTTCTATATTCAGAAACAAAGGAGTGGTGTAATTTTAAAGCTACTGACCGAATTCCATCCGGCATCTTAATGTCCTTGTGTCCATCAACCTTGAGAGCCAGTTTGAACCCGCTGTCAAAGCTTGCCTTGGTGAAGATGCGGTCCAGGAAGGTGTTGAGCAGGCGCTGGTCAAATTCATTGTCAATGCGACCACCATAGATAGACTGGGCCATCAGCGTTTTCAGAGCTGCCCAAGGGATCTTGTCTGGTGCAATGTTCTGACGACCCTGTGTGTGTGTGTGTGTGTGTGTGTGTGTGTGTGTGTGTGTGTGTGTGTGTGTGTGTGTGTGTGTGTGTGTGTGTGTATGTGTGTGTGTTGTGTATAGAGGCAAAGTTGTCAATTTTTACAGTCAAAGCCAATACTTCCATGATTTATCTAATTAATTCAGTATTTATAAGGTAGTAAGAAATAAATGACTTCATGGCTTACTAATACAAGTTACTATTGGAAACAAATACATTTAAAGCAGTGTATACAATTTTTATAATCATCTTCAACCTTAGCAGTGTCATCCAGCCAGGTGTCAACTGTGTCACAGGCAGAGCGGAGGTCTGAC